CTCAAGTAGTAGAGCTCTAGCTGGGGCACTGGTGGCTCACGCCTGTAATCCTAGCTACTCAGGAGGCTGAGATCTGAGGATCACGGTTCAAAGCCAGCCCCAGCCCAGGCAGGAAAGTCCATGAAACTCTTATCTCCAATAAACCACCAGAAAACCGGTGGTAGAGCACTAGCCTTGAACTAAAGAGTGCAGGGACAGTGCTCAGGCCCAGAGTTCAAGCCCCACAACCGACAAAAAAAAAAAAAAGTCTACAGTAGCCATTACCATGGATTGAACAAAGGCAGAGCAAGGCTGACCTGGGGGTGTGCACTAGCATGAATTATTGTAATTTTTGTTGTTGTTGTTGGTCGTGGGGCCTGAACTCTAGGCCTGGGTGCTGTCCCTCAACTCTTCAGATCAAGGCTGGCGCTCTACCACTTGAGCCACAGCGCCACTTCCGGCTTTTTCTGCTTATGTGATGCTGAGGAATCAAACCCAAGGCCTCATGCATGCAAGGCAAGCACTCTACCACTGAGCCACCTTCCCAGCCCCACTAGCATGAATTATATAGATGAATTTGAAAATTACCTGATACTGTTGCCATATCTGATTTTGAATTTATACACATTGGATCCTGCATGAAAAAACCTTGTCTCTGGAAACGGGTAGGTAAAGGGTTTCAAAGTCATTGTTTCACAATAGTATCCTAAAGAAAGTAGAAATGTTAGAGTATTACTCAAAAGCTAAAAATGGCATCTTTTATACAGGAAAGAGCATACCCAAACTATAACATGTATTCAAGGGGAAAATGTCTAACAGCACCATTGCCCACATAGCAGGCTCACTTCTGCTACAGTTACATAGACCATTCTCCTATTTGCATGGGAAAGAAACATGTTGGCACCATCTCTGTGACTTTGTAAAAATCACTTCTCTTCCAGAAGACTAATGTCTCTAACACCTGCCCTGAGGTTACAACTCACAGGTTTTGCTTATAATAAAAAGATTCTCCCAAATATCTCTTCAGGCTATTTTCCTTTTACATCCCACTTTCCCTGAAACCTAAGAAGCTCAAGTTAAGTAATGAGATAATCCAAAGGCTGCACCGTTAAGAGGCACAATTACAAAGGCCTCTGCTATTAATTCTTAATGAAATTAAGGGAAACCTGAAGTGGCACTGTTGCTGAAGTGGTAGAGCACTCACCTTGAGTAAAATAGCTCAAAGACAGTGCCCAGGCCCACAGTTCAAGCCACATGGAAAAAAATAAAAAATAAAAAGGTCACACCTGTAATCCTAGCTACTCAGGAGACTGAGACCTGAGGACTGGGGTTCAAAACCAGCCCAGGCAGGGATGTCCATGAGACTCTTATCTCCAATTAATCACCAGAAAGCTAAAAGTGGTGCTGTGGCTCAAGTGGTAGAGTGCTCACCTTGAACTGAAGAGCTGAGGGACAGTGCCCAAAGCCCAGAGTTCAAGCTCCCACAACAACAACAAAAAAAAGGGGGCGGGACTGGTAATGTGGCTCAGTAGTAGAGTGCTTCCCTAGCATGCATGAAGCCCTGGGTTCCATTCCTCAGTACCATATAAACAGAAAAAGCCAGAAGTGGTGCTGTGGCTCAAGTAGTGGAGTACTAGGCTTTAGCAAAAGAAACTCAGGGACAGCCCAGGCCCTGAGTTCAAGCCCTAGGACTGGCAAAAAAAAAAAGTTAGGGTCTTGCTTTTTTTTCCAGGCTGTCCTTGAACTATATTCCTTCCAATCTCTGGCTCCCAAGTAGTTTGGGCTACAGGCATGCACCATCATGCTGGAGACTGGCCATGCCTTATTCTAAGTGCCGTATATTATTTCAATTAATCCTCACAAAAAGTCTATTGATAGACTTAGTGCGATAGGTGAGAAAATTGGAGGACTGAGAGTTGAAGTAATCTATTCATAACTATAACTGCCGGAATTTGGATTCAAGTTGAATCAGTATAAATCACTCTGTCAATCTGTCCTAGGGTTTATAAGGAGAGAATAAAACAGGGAAAAAGTTGATGCTTGAAAAATCTGGCAAAAATCCCTCTCCCAGGGGAGAAGGGGTATCAAAATTAAAGGCTTTGCTATGGTTTGGATGTGTCCACCAAAAGTTAATGTGTTGGAAACTTAATCCCCAAACTTACATGCTAATATTATTTGGAGAGGGCTGGGAAGGTGGCTCAGTGGTAGAGCGCTTGCCTTGCATGCCTAAGGCCCTGGGTTCCATTCCTCAGCCCCACATAAGCAAAAAGAAAAAAGCTGGAAGTGGCGCTGTTGCTCAAGTGGTAGAGCACTAGCCTTGAGCTGAAGAGCTGAGGGACAGTGCCCAGGCCCAGAGTTCAGGCCCCACGACCGGACCCAAAAAT